GGCTGGTAATAACTTACCAAGACATCAAGCGTTTTTTTTTTTTTGGTCATTTTGATGTCACTGACTGACACAGAAAGTGGTAACAGAGCACTGAACAAAAGGTTACATGTGTTAATTTGAACCAGGACAGTGCTACTAAAAGCAATGACATTATATATTACTATGGAACAAAGTATCTGAATGCAATTTTATTTCTTTCAATATAGCCATTTCTGTATTTGTAATGTGTTGAATCACTAAAATGTAGTATATTGATAAAACTATTGTTATTGTTATTATTGTCATCATCATCATCTTCATCATTATCATTTTCATCATCATCAAGAAGACTCCCTAATAGGCTGAACCATTTAACCAGAATCAGTCAACAATGCAATGTCACTTCCAACAACGTATCACATTTATGGCTATTCAGTGCAATTACTGCTGTGTATTTAAATTAATATAACCCATGAGTTATATTCCAGTTCTTTTTTTCCTGTAATACAACACATTTAATTTAGAAAACACCAAATTGGGTGGTTCTCTCTAGACAATCCACCAGCACTAGGTAGAAGTGAGAAAAAATAAACATATATAAACTTAGACAGGCAAAATGTAATCATTTTGCTCAAGAGGCCTGGAGTTCCTCATCAGAATCTCAAAAATCCTTCCTTCCCTCTGTTCCATTTTGCTCATCTTCTCTTTCATTCCGATGTGGTTACTTTCCCTTGTTGCCCTGACAACACAGTCAGTCACCTGGCAACATATCCGGTGCTCTCGGGGTTGGACGTGTGAGTGGATGAGTCTTAAAGGACGCTGTATTGACAAAAGTATTGGGACACCTGCTCATTACACCTACAGGAAGTTTTATGACATCTCATTCTAAATCCATATGCATCAATATGGAATTGGCTCCCCTTGCAGCTGTAACAGCTGCCACTCTTCTGGGAAGACTTTCCACAGGATATTGGAGTGTGTCTGTGGGTATTTTTTGCCCATTCGTCCAGAAGGGCATTTGTGAAGTGAGGCACTGATGTTGAATGTGAAAGCCTGGCTCCCAATCTGTTCCAGGGCTCTGTGCAGGCCAGTCAAGTTGTTCCACATCAACCTCACTGGGGCACAGTCACACTGGAACAGAAAAGGTTCTTCCCCAAACTGATCCCACAAAGTTGGAAGCATAGAATTGTCCAAAATATCTTGATATGCTGAAGCATTAAGAGTTCCCTTCACTGGAACTAAGGGGCCTAGCCCAGCCCCCGAAAAACAACCCCATACCATTATCCCTCCTCCACCAAACATTACGGTAGGTAATGTTCTCCTGCCATCTGCTAAACTCAGACTCATCTATCACTTATTACTTATTGCAAAGGTGGCATTCTATGACAATATCACACCTTAATGATCTGAGCTCTTCAGAACAACCCATTCTTTCACAATTGTTTGTACACCTGGCTGCATGGCTATGGGTCTGAATGCGACCTGAATGAAACACCTGAATTCAACAATTAAGAGGTGTGGCACAAAATTTTTGTCTATATTGTGTATATGGAAGCGTAAATGCAGATATTAATGGCAACTATGCCTCACGCTTCACATTACCCAGAAAGGCACATCCCTGTTCCTTCCTCATGATCTGCTGACATCTGCCTCACTCTTCACATTCCCCTGAAAGGCACATCCCTGTTCCTTCCTCACCATCTGCTAACATCTGCCTCACTCTTCATCACATGCCCCAGAAAGACACATCCCTGTTCCTTCCTCACCATCTGCTGTCATCTGCTTGATCTCCTACACAGACTAATGAAACTAGAAGCAATGAAAGATAGAAGATGATGCTACATAGTGGTACAATTTAAAAGCAGTAGGACACTCACTCAACCTACCAGTGGTGATTTTTTTATAAAATGAGGAGTGGAAAATGATGGATTAGTGGGGTGGGGGGTGTGTGGGTCCAGATTTATCTCCTACCCATGTTCTGGCGCCATATACTTGTCCTTGGTGCTCATAGACTGTAAAGATTTACAAACCAAACACTTCTAGAAAAATTATTCTTTAATATCCTAACAGAAAATCTGAAAAAAGCAAGTGTGATGAGCACAGAGGAACTTGAGGACAGTAGTACACTGTTAAATGAATACTACAAATCTTGTATTTTTAAACCCACTATGTAGCACTTGGTTATACATTTTCAGAAAAGGTTTTTAGGAAAAGTGTGCCCTTTTATTCGCACAAAACTCAGTGTTTGTGCATCTGTACAATTTGCTATGTGCAAATCAAATTAATATACCAACAGGACATAAAAGGTGATGACATAAAAGAAACTGAAAAAGTCTCAAAAAAAGATTATACAGCTGTATGTTTTGGAGAAGCTATATAAAAGCAAAAATATGATGATGTCATTCTCTGCATACAGATAATATATATGTGCTCCGGTTTCCCCCCACAGTCCAAAGACATGCTGAGGCTAGCTGGAGTTACTACATTGCCCATAGGTGTGCATGTGTGAGTGAATGGTGTGTGAGCGTACCCTGCGATGGGCTGGCCCCCCATCCTGGGTTGTTCCCTGTCTCGTCCTCGTAGCTTCCGGGATGGGCTCCGGACCACCCGCAACCCAGAAGGATAAGTGGTTTGGAAAATGGATGGATGGATATGTATGATTCATATGTATAAGTACATAAATGTATGCTAGATTTGGGATGGGCAAATCGAATGAATAGATTTAAATGTATTATCTCCTAAATGTATCATAATTACTGGAGATGGGTTCACTAAATTTGCATCTGGCACATATTTTAAAAGACGTTAAATTTACCTCAGTCATTAGGCTTTGACAGCTGTCAAAAAAGCACGATTTGATTCACACACAGGGGTTTTTTTTTCCCTCTGCACAGAAGGGACTGAAGAGCAAGAGAGAGCAGAACTCAAACAGGAAATATAATTAGTGGGCATCTGGACATTGTGCTGTACCGGAATAGAGACATGAGAAATTCATAAATTTTCCATGAGCGAGAGAGGGAGAGAGAAAGCGAGAGAGGAGGGGAAAGCGAGACAGAACTACTCATTTGTTGTATGGTAAATTGATCGAATTATACTGCGAGGATAAAGCAGAAATATTGATCACTAGACGAGCCAGATCCCAGCAGTTAGGACAAAAGCTGGCAAATGGCCAAAGCAGCTTGCAGCCAGGTGAAGGCGGAAGCCTTGGGGAACAGACAGCGAGTCAGGCTGCTTTATGCTAAAGTGCTTGCAAAGCCTCATTTACCGTAGTTAGGGGCCCGGTGCACTCTCTGCAGGTGTTAAACATGGAAACAGAAGCTTCAGGATTCTAATCACCATTTTTCACACGTATACCTTGAGCAACACTTGTGTACTATTGAAGAGTAAATGGTTATTACTTATTTAATTTTCAGAATGTATCAGTACTGCAAAGTGGTTATGAATCTATAGAACCCAAATAATAATGCGTGGCCCACACTTCACTTGAAATACTATAAACATACGTATCTATAGCGTTTATATGTAGCTAATTACTATAACGCATTTTAATGTGCATTTGATTAACTGAATTCAAATTAATTTCATTCATTCCAACCAAATATTAAAGATAGATCACAAACAGTAATTATTCACAGTCTATTTAGACTGAGCTGTCACACTGGGGAACACATAAATGCCATTTGCTAATGAAAATAATCAACATGCCATCAAAGGCCCCTCCCCCATAGTTTATAGGGATCCTTCCTAAGACCTCTGACCTGCAGAAATGGAACATCTCTGTTCAGTCCTCTACCCCTCGTAAAGCGCCTCATCCAATTCAGTTTATTGCCTTTTGTTCCTGGTGCAGGACGACCTTCAGAGAGTCAGTGATGGTATTTTGAGAATTAATGCACAGCTGCACTTCTGTCCGTGAAGGTCTCATAGTCAAAGACAGATGTACAATAATCGTCCCACACAAGTAAACATGTATTTCGCATATCAATGTGCTGAGTCAGACGGGACGCTTTGTTACACCTGAAGATCACCCTGCTTGTTTTTATAAGCAAGCTTCTTACAGAGAGCTTCAGATGTCCCCTGATGTGTGAGTCACCTAATGTTCCACACAGAAAACGCTTCTGCAAAGTCATCCTGTAGCTTTTATGGCCTTAGTGAGACAGTTTGGTTATGAGTTATAAATAAAAAATATTCACTGACTCGAACTGTTAAAAGACAGTTATAACAGAAACACGAAGAAAAATCACAAATGACTTTTAAATGACTTACATAATGAAAACAGCAGAAATATTAATGTATTTATCTTCTTAATGTTGGTCTATGGAAAGCAAGCATTTTATATATACAGAATATGCAAAATTAGCATGAAATATGTCTGTTACTAGAATAACACTGACATGTGAAAAAAAATTGCAAATCTTTTTGTTTTGTTTTAAAGTGAACGCCGGTTATTTATGAAGAGTAACCAGATAAATTTATAGCATATTAATGTATAAAGAAAAGGCAATAAAAACTGCTTGGGTTAAAATGTAGTTGTCACTCAAAGGAGGTTTGTGGGCTCATATTCTGGTTGAGTTTTACTTCCCTTCCAGGCTGGGACACTGGCACTGTGCTTTTTTCCCTGCATATCAGACAAAGATGTGAGATCTGTGTGTGTGAGAGAGAGCTTATTAGATCATATATTAAAGGAAGCAGGCAAAGGCAAGAGCGAAGAAAAGGGAAACAGGAGAGGCAGGGAGACAGAGAACGTGGTCGCAATGGGACTGGGCGTGGCAGCACTGTGAATACAGAGGTATCATGGCAGACAG